CTATCAATGTGTAATATTTCTATCAATAGCTCAAGTCCTGGCACAAGCAGCAGTGATAGTATTAACACCTCTTTCTCCCAGTCGCATCACTCTGAGAATGCATCTGCCACTCACTGCTAGTGCTGACTGGTTTCCAAGGACGTAGAATGTGAACAAATTGGGATTTGGTACTCAGCTTAAAGCTTATAAGGATTTCTGTGTTATGATTATTGTTTTACATGAAGTTCGTAAGGTTTGTTTTGTTTTTTAATGGTTGCTACTAGTTGTTATACTAATAATTTATCTAAATCACAAAGTCCACTTAATTCTAGTGTTCGAGCTCCACAGCCTATACAGAGATACAAAAGACATAGTAAAGGGGATCTCTTCCCTCAAGGAGCTTGTGATCAGTCTAGAGTAAGTGCATGAATGCACTGGAGGGACTTCAATAGAAACAGAGATAGACTTTTCTCTTATAAAGTTTAACCTTTTGAAATGAATTTTACCTAATGAAATTAAATTAAAGTGACAGAAGGTTATTACTGAGATATTTCTCCTCTTTAGATTTTTTTTGTTATTCTACTGTAGAATTGTACAGTCATAAATCTTGTTTATCTGATAAATTGCCATAACTTTCACTTTCCTTTGGAAGCGTGGTTCTGACCTGTTGCTGATATGTGTGTAAAAGCACCTAATAAAATGGCAGTTTGTTAAATGACGGGAGTTCTAGTAATACTCACTTGTATCATTGGCCCTAACTATGGCAAAGTGTGACTTTCGCTTTAAATTTACACAACTTTTAAAGACCTTAGTTCCAGCACTTTAGGAGGCCCAGGTAGGAGTATCACTTGAGGCCAGGAGTTCAAGACCAGCCTGGGCAACATAGTGAGACCCCCATCTCTACAAAGAAATTTTGAAAATTAGCTGGATGTGGTTGGGAGGCTGAGCCAGGAAGATTGCTTAAGGGAGGGTTGGAAGTTGCAGTGAGCTGTGAGTGTGCCACTGCATTCCTGCCTGGGCAACAG